GGGGGGGGGGGGGGGGGGCGAACACCGGGTGTGTGTTGAAAGAGCACGGAGCAGCAGGGCACATACGCGGCAGTCGCCTCAGGATGGCTGCTTCATTGTTGGGTGTTTTTATCACAACCTGTAGGTTACTTTTGGCTTGCAGAAACATCTCTGAATGCTCAACATCCCACGCTCAGCCAGCAGTGCTGCTACAATTGTCCAGAGCGGATTATGCAACGCGACACGGGTGCCGGTGGGGTGACCGACTTCAGGCCCTGGGGTGGCGAGCTGGTGTGAAGGCCGACGTCGACCCGTTTGGAGGTACATAGCTGGATGAATGCACATTGCATAGTCGTATCAGCGCCGCAGATTCGCAGGCGTGGCTGAGAAAAGCAGGCCCCGCCCCTCGACGCGTGCGGTCACTGCACAATGTGCTTTTCCACAACAATTTCCACGGGCATAGGCATGGTTTCTTGGGCGCTCGCCGTACGGTACGCCCGCAAAGATGGAGCACTGTTCAGCAGGCGGGCCCTCATGTTCTTATACTTCGGCCTCATCGAGTTTGTACAGGTGAGGAAGGCCGCAAACAAACATACATCTCAATTCGAGCAACGTCACGCAGCAGCTCCGCGTCGGGCAACGCCACGCATGCGCGCGGGCTTGCGGGAAGCGCTGGTCGAGAGTGAGAACATTCTGTTCCTCCCCAATTGCGCGAGTTGCCCCTGTCCGATAATACGGCCATTGTCATGCTTGCAGGTCGCCCAATATGCTGTTGCGGACCGTTGTGACAGCACGCTGAACCAGGCGCGCCAGGGGCTGCGGAGGTTGCGACAGCTGGGGGGCGACCGGTGGCGCCCCGCCCAGGGCGCCTGCGCGGTCAACGCCAGTCTTGCCCTCGCCGCGCACTGCCACTACACGTCCCGCCCGCACGCTACCTGCTCTGCAAGGCCAGGCTTGAAGTGCAGTGGCGCACAGCGCCCTGCAAGCGTAGCCACGCCTTGCGCAAGCACCAAGCCTGGCCCCGCTTCGCTTCCCTGACAACCATCCACAACCCTCTCATACGCCGATTTGCACGCTCTTTCCACCCTCGAACCATCTGGAACCGAGAGCAGGCCCTCACATATGCAGCTTATATCCACGTGGCCTTCCAGCCATGGGTGGTCAACAACTACTTTTGGGGTGGCTTTCGGATGACCAGACCTGACTTGGTGCAGTTCATAATGGTGAGGGCGTGGCTGGCTGGGGCTGCGCCACCCCTGCGGCCGGCTGCACGTTTGCGTCGGCATACGCCTGCAATACAACAAAATCATGCAGATGAGCTGATTTGTTGAGGGGCACCGCACTGGGGATTGGCTCACAAACAGCACGCATGTGCCAGGAATGGAGCAGCAGAGAATACGCGCAGGGTGTACGCATTGACTCGCTTGGTGTCACGCTGGTCGGCGCCAGTGCGGCTACGTTTTCAGTGATAGCTTTGATCCCTCCAGCCCTTACCCTTGTACACCTCACACTCATGTTCGCATTCCCACACATGCGCGGACGGCCCCCACTGCAGCGCCTTTCGTTGGTCGGCGCCTGCATGATGGTGTCGCGGCTGCCCGGCATGCCACTGGGTTACTTGGGCGACCTCCTCAACGACTGGGTGCCAGACCTGCCAAAGAGTGACAGCCACGGCACGGTGAAACGCGTTCAGGGCTTGCGTGGCTGAGGGGAGATGGTGGGAGGAGACGGGGTGGGGACCGCAGGAGGGGCGGGCAGAGCACAAGGGATTTTGCGGACAGACAGAGGGGCGGATTGGGAACCGCTCCACAGGGGCAGCAGCAGGGCAGTATGATGGAAACTTTGGCCAGAGGAGCGTAGAGCACGAGGCAAAAGGGCCAATCCTTGGTCAAACTCCGGTCAACCCCGGCTCACCTCAAGGTCAACCCATGGTCAACCCTTTGATTAGGGGCAGCTGAAGGCCAGCCGTGCCATCTGCCGCGCCCGCTGCGCGGCCCTTGCGCTATCCAGTCACACAAACGCACGCCCCTCCGCTTGCCGCACCGCACTGGGCAGGCGTGCCACCTGCTAGAAGCGTCCTGCAGCCCGCGGCTCTGCAGCGTCACCGGGCAGGCGTGGGGCCACATCAGCTGGGTGAGAAACAGGCAGACGAAGAGAGAGACAGAGCCTCGCAAGCACTAGCCGTCTGCACCACTCGAGGCCAGGTCCTGATGGCGGCTGGCTCGGGGCCTCCACCGACACCTATGCAGGCAAAATCTGCAACTGAGCGAGCGCCCTGCCGTACTTTCCTTGCATTTACCCCCTGTTTGTGCCTGGCGCTCGTGCCTGTCCCAACCACCCGGCCCTCGCCCCGCAGGAGGTGCCCCTGCTGCCCGCCACCTACTTCGTTCCTGGCTCCAGCCTGCACGCGATCCTGTTCTTCCTGCCGACCCTGCTTATGGGCAGCGGCGCGCAGTGGTGGCTGATGCTGTCGTGCCTGGCGGCCGGGCCCGTGAGCGGGATGGTCTACTCGTCGCGAGGCATGGCGACCTATCAATTTGAGTGGTGAGTGCCGTCCATGGGGGTGCACGTGGGCGTGGGAGGGCAGGAAGGGCGCGGTGCCAAGCGCGAGGTTTGAGGCGCTTTGGGGCATACAGCAAGTGGGGTTGCTTGGCTCCTCGGTTGCCTCGCGCTGGCCTGCTCCTTCTGAGCGGCCACGAATTGCCCTCATTCGCTCCTGTCATGCACACGCACCCACTTACAAACCCACGAACGCACACACCCACACGTGCACACGCACAGGCCAACCATATGGTGCTTCTTTGCCGCCACCCAGGCAATGGTGGCCCTCGCAACCGAGGCCTGCTGGCCCGACGCCTTTGCCGCCCTCGCGCCCGCGCTCGCGCCGGAGGCGGCCGCGGGTGCGCCCTACAAGGCCGCCCGCCCGATGTTTGACTTGACTGCAGACAGCACTGCCCGTGCGGACAGCACTGCCCGTGCGGTGCTGCCGGCGTTGGCGGGAGGGAGGGAGAGGGACCAGGGCGTGCGCACGCGCTCACAGGGCAAGCTTGCTTGAGCGGATGCCAGAGAGTGTAGCAGCACGGAGCTTGTTTGCCGGCTTGCAGGCCGTTGGTCCCAACGGCAGTGTGGCCGCAAACGTGACTTGCTCAGGCGGGGCAGCGGCAGCCTCGCTGAGGAGCCGCTCACTCGCCAGGTCCCGCGCCGCGGTCCTGCGCTAGCGGTGACGGTAGGCGTCCAGACCTTTGCCGCACCAACAGCTGGCTTTGTGAGTGAGAGCCAAGCTAAGCATGAGTGCGCATTTGCTGCCTGACCACCGCTCGTGGTGCCGCATCGACCATCGTCGCTCTACAAAGCACATATTGAGGGATGCACTGGAGTTTCTCTTGAACTCAATTGAAGGCGTCTTCTGCTTCCGTGAGTCACCTAGCCGGTGACCCCTCAACCCATGCACAACCCATGCGCTTGCACGTACCTTTGTTGCCTCAGGGGCCCCTTGCGGGCCAGCAGAGCATAAGCCCAGCATCGTTGACCTTGACCTGCACATTGACTGCTGCGCAGCAGCGCATATGGCTTTTGGTTTACCGACCGCCTTGAGAGAGTCGGCGGGCTTCGCAACGACCTGCGCTTGGGCTTGCATCCATTCCTGCGTCACCAGGGGAATTGGCTGATTTTCTGTATGTACCGCAGTTGCAGAGCTTTACTGATATCTGGCACTGGCGATTGATTATACATACAAGCGCCAGAGCGTCGGTGACCAGACGCGTGCATCTCGTGTCCACGTCGTAGGCTGCACCACACACCCTTTTCATAGCAGAGGTACGGCGCCGCGACCTTGGCCAGGCTGTGGCGCACTGTGGGCGTGCGCATTCCTGCAGGCCAGACCACACGCCGCACGCACCTGCCTGAGCAGCTTTCCTGTGCACGCCCTCCGCCTTGCGGGTGCAGTGGCCCTTTGATGTTGATTGGCTGCGTGCACATATTACAGGACCGCATTGTCCCAGGCAAGCCTCCGCGGCCCCCGCCCCTCGAGGGCGGGCCGCCCGCCTTTGAGCGCCCCCCGCGGGCTTTTGCACGCGGCTCGGAAGCGAAGGAGGCGGAGCCGAGCCCGGCGGATTGTGGCACCGCCCCAACACCGGCTGTGCCCGGGCCTGCACGCGCATCGGCAGCCATCTTTCTTGCTGCTCCGCAGCCGTTTGCGCCGCGTCCCTCCCTATGCGAATGCGCTCTTTATCACGCACATGAGCGGCTGGGCATGCAGCGGCAGCGGCACCTTCCTCCTCCACCCGTGCTGTGGCATTTTCATCATCGACCGAGTCACATGCCGCTGCGGCGCGACACCTTTATTGACGAAACCCATCGCATGCGGCTGCGCGTCAAACGACCCGTCAAAACAAACAGCCACGCGCTTGCTTGATAGAGCGCGCCTGGCAAGCCCCCCTCAACCAAAGCCTGTGCTCGACCCCGCTCCCTGGTGAGCCGCTGCCACACACACTCAGCGCTCGGCAGCCTGCTTGTGCAGTTTCAATAAGGCGATCGCCCCGCCGGCGTCGATGGTGCGCGTGACGGCCCAGGCCAGCTGGATGTGCCAACATTAAGAGCCACCTGCAAAACAGGCAACCCTCAAGGCACACGATTGCGACCTGGCAGTCAGCTGCTGGACTGCACGCCATTGTGTGATGCTGGTGTTGACGTGTCATGTTACACACGGCAGTAAGCAACCCCTTTGTTCCCCTCCTGTCCCCCCCAAAACACCTCTCTCACTCGTAGCAGCGGTGCGCCGCTCTCCGGCCCCTTGGCGGCGGTTGGCTGTCGCAGCCACGCCAGGCGCCATTTGCAGGGAGCGACCAGAAGCAAAGCAGGCCGCCGCGATGACACGCTCGCGCGCGCGAGTGGGAAGCACTGAACCGCGCGCTGCGTGATGAGGTCCTTTCTGAGGAAGCAGCTGCGGCGGGCGCGCCCGGCGGCGGCGGCGGCAAGGGGCGAAAGCAACGACAGCACATCCCCACGCATCAGTTCAAGGGAGTTGAGGGCCGTGGCGGCGAGATGAAAGGTGCTCAGCTGTCTTGCTCGATGCGACAGCGTGTATGTGTGCGCCACCCCAGCAGAAGCGGCCAACGAAAGCGCACTGCCCGCGAGCCGCGCCGGAAACGGGCGTGGGAGCTGCCGGCAATTCGTGAGCCCGGTGGGACGGGGGGCGATAAGCAAAGCAGCAGCTGGCATGCACGTGGAGTTTGCTATGGGAGCGAGCGAGCGCAGACAGAGGGGGCGAAAGCAGCATAGGGAGCAGCACAGAGGGAGCAGAGCGGGGGCAAGTCCTAAAAAGCGGGCATGGGCGAATGGTTGGCCTGGTGTAAGGGTTTTTGCGTGACATGGGAAGTGCAGAGCACACGCATGACAAACAAGAGGGGCCAGCAGGCGCATCGTGATGCGCGCGGGCGGCCAGGGGGGCGTCACATATGCTATGTTGCCGGTGTGCACGCAACGCAAGGGGCAGGCATGGCGCAAGCGGGCGCCGCGGGCCGTGGGGGCCGCGGCCGCGCCTTACAGTGCGGGGTTTTGGCCCGATCCGGCGGCTGCTGAAATGGCCGCATCGAAGGCATTCCACAGCAGGGGTCCCGGCCGCCGGGGCGCGCGGCGGCGGCGGCGGCGACTGTCCCAAAATGTCATAACAACCCGCGCGAGCGGCAAAGGTATCAGCTGTGCAGGCACAAGGCGCGGGCCGACGGGCAGCTTGCGCCGGCGGTCCGCACCGCCCGGCGC